CGTCTCTGATTCCTCGTAAATCTTGGGAAGCCGGCCATCATCGCGCCGTTGTTCGGCTTGTGGGGCCTCTCTGGAATTGCTGCGTTGCGTCGGCATGTCTGCCAGTTCTTCGCACTTTGTCATGTCCTGATCGAAGCCGGTTTGTTTCTGTAGACTTCAGGCATTGAACGATTCTCGAGCGCGCTGATCTAGAAATATCTTGGACGTTGAGGGCAGCGCCTTCAGCTTCGTAGCAATGAAAACCTTGGTTCGCGTCGTTGTCATAGTGGGCCAGCACACAGCTGCCAGCATACGTTATCGGAGGTAACCTGTGGATACTCTTAGCTAGCGCAATAGAAACAACATTTTCGATGTGGTAGAGATCTCCAATAAGATACTGGAGCTAAGTGCACCTTCAGAGCTAATCGGCTCGCGCTTGTCATCTGGAGCTTTCCCTGTTTTGTCGGGAGATAACCAAAGACGATAGCGAATTTCCCCGCGGGCAAACCCGCGACGAAGGCCAACGCAATCCGTAATGCTGCGTTGTCCGAGCCAGTTCCTCGCGTGATAAATGCTTCAGTATAGCGCGTGCGTCTAGCACTGCCGCGTTGTACTTGTGCGTCGCGGCTCCCAACCCGCGCGACACCTCGACCCCTTTCGGGGTCGTTTCGCACGACCGGGAATTGTCCATTCCAGCCGCCCCAGTCGTCTTTCGGAGTTGCGGATCGATGGTAGTCAACCAAGTCACCTTCTTTCTAGTAATGCTGACCAGTGGTGGTCGTCCTAGTTCGTAGTGCACGGTTCGTCTTTGCTAATGCTGTGGCCTATGTGATAGCTTCGATGCTTGCGCGCCGGATAGTCTGTTCTCGGTTGTGATGTGATGTCTCTGTCTGTTGTTCGTGGTCGAGAACAGGCAGGTCGGGAAGCACAGCTGGCTGTCGGCCAAACAGTGAGTTGCACGGAGATACTTCGTTGTAGAAAATAAACGCATCGCTGACAAACAGAGCGTCATACAACAGCCGGGTGAACGCAAGTGGCATGTCTATCCTATTGAGCTCAGCCTCCACGACGTGAAGCAGGTGTCATACTATGCCGCTTCTGGCTTCAATGGTGGTAGCACGTTGCCCGCGCGCGCGCGTTCTCAGCTCCGCGCCTTCTGCTTTAAGGACTACCCTGGCGGCGTCGTTGCGGAGGGCACCTCCCGCGTCGGAGTATAATATTTTGGCGGGCCCAAATTGCATCCAGCACTGAGGGCGCGCACTCAGGATGCTGGTCAAAGTTTTGCCTGGTATCTCAAGGCCAGCGCCGCATCGAATGCAAGGGTCAATTATGTGGACTACCTCATGCACTTCCCCTTCCATGGAATATGAAGATGGCAGGAGTGCTCGCGATGGCAAGGAGCTTGGAGGAACTGCTCCAAAGCACTTCGCCCAAGTTGTCTCGTTCGTTGCACCTGAGGATCTAATCCAGAAATACAACGTAACCAGCAGTCGTCTGCATTCCACGCCGCAACCCACCCTCTCATCGCTTCCGCCTCTGCTCTCCGCTCAGGCGGAGATGCGCAAGACGCCAGCAGGCAAAGCTGCGGGTCTGGATGACGCCATCAGTGATCTGGCCAGGCTTTCCAATACACAGGTCTCTAGACTGGCCTGTCCTCTCCATCTACAAACGGCTGCTAACAAAGAGAGCCCCTGGGGTGTAAGTCTGGGGGGTCGCGTTTATTTCTACAAAGGCAAGGGCCAACCGTGCCGCGTGACGGATCAGCGCAACGCACTGTTAGATAGCACCATTGCCAAATACCATCAACGTTTTCTTCGCTCGGCTTCCCTGGGCCCCCATCTACAAGGCGAGCTCTTGAGCGCGCGGTGCGGAGGCCCCGCTGGGCGAGGCCTTGAAGGCGCCGTTCTGATTCGCAAGCAATTCTGGCTTGCTACCTATAGGGTAGGGCTCTTAGCTGGCGCTGCATTTGTCGATCTTACGGGGGCCTTCTACGCCACTTCCACGCAGCTGCGCGCGTCGCTGCCCGCGGGGGCGGATAAATTGGGAGAGGTGCTGTCTGTTATGTACATGTCTCCTTTCTTGGGGGCTGGCCTTGTCGCGACTTTGAAAACGGGCGCTCCGGGGGACTTTGCAGGCGCGCCTCGCAGCGCGTCGGAGCTCGCTCGGGAGTGTCTAGTTGGCTCCTGTTGGGGGGCCAGCCCGTGGAAGCGATGGCCTTGCGAGGCGCGGCCGCGGCTGTCGCCCGAGCACCGCCCTCGCGACGGACGCTGCCTGCGCGTTGTTTGCAAGGGCCCAAGGGAAATTTGAAGGGCAGATATAGCAAGAACGCCTTGTTCTGGGCGTCCCCCTCAGTCCGCGGCCGTCTCGCACTCGAATGAAGACCTTGAGGACTTGCGCCCTTCCATCTCATTCGCGGGCGACCTGACATCATTTGCAACAAGCGCGGCCAATGACCTGTCAGAATCATTGTTGCGCTCAGATGAAATCATTCGCATTCACTCGGCGACCCATGGCTTCTCGATCAACTTCAGCAAGGCCGCCGCCATCGTGGCTTCCGGAGGAGTGGGGGCTCGAAAGTCAGCCAAACTTTTCTTCCAGCCAGGGGGCGCCGCACTACGCAGCCCCACCCGTGGGTTCGACATGCCCACCGCCAGGCCTCACAAGCTGCTTGGTTCCATTGTTACTGATACTGTGTGCACGGCTGCTGAGATGCCCGGGGGAACGCGGTCAACGAGATCTGCCTTGCGGCCGCTCAAGAGAGTTGTCACTAACAAACCGTGTCTTTCCGTGGTGCATAAAACGCGCTGTTGTGAGGCGCGTGCTGGATCAATATTTCTTCTTTGCTTGCCGATGGCACTTGGGATCCACGACATGGCAGGTTGCACAGCAAGGCTGACGCAAGTTATTGAAGGATATATCGTACGGCACTCAACTTGGGCACCTCACATTGCGCAAAGTCTCAAGTTTCTCGCCTAGAGGTGCTGGGTTCAATGGAACGACTCCCGCTTTCCTTAGTCGCGGCGGTTCAAGCTTATTCCGCGCATTTGCAAAGGGGGGCTCGCCTCTACTAAAGTCACTCCTGGATTTAAACATCGGAGCAGGTTGGTCAGCACAGGTCGGTAACGACTTTGATTGGTTGAGGAGTTTTCTTGATTATGACACCTCGGGTTACGACTTTGATTTTAGTTCTCTTACCGCCTTGCCTGTGAAGATCGTGGGGGATTTATTTCTCTCATTTCCAGGGCTGTTACTGCCACTAAGAAGTGGCGGAAGGTCTATTCTACAGCGGATATATGGATTCGGTAGTTTCCTCTCTGTCCTAGCACTGTTGGCATCAACTTGCAGCAGCATGTTTTCACTGCTGGGCCTGCACACTCTGTTGCCCTGTCAGGGGCTGCGCCTATCCCGCCTCCTCATGTTGGGTTCTTTTGCTATGAGTGTAGTCATGTCGCCAAGTCCGCTCGCTTGCTGGAAATTCACATGGCCAAGACCCACCCCAGCCCTGATGCTCCTGAAAAGTTTGTTACTGGCTCCTGCAATAATTTTCGTCTTTGGGAATTCTGGGATGGCAAAAAGCTCTTGTCGCATGTCAGGCGGTCTGGTCCGTGTCGTGCTGCTTGGGCCACGTCCCCCTTGAGGCCGGGTGGAGATGATTTCATGAGGTGACTATCATGCTGATCTCCCCGCTGTTAAGGTGGCTGGCCCTCACTTTCGCCCCCGTTTGCTGGGGGGCCACCATTGTTGTGCCCGATCTTCTGGTGGTCGACTTGGAGCCCCCCCCGTCCCCCCCCCCTAAGTCAAGGCATCTCACATCGCAGCGTACGTGTCTCTTGCTATCATTATGTTGGCCATGAGATTGCTCTCGACAATCCAAGGGCCAAGGCATTTTTTTCTCCGTTCCTTGGTGAAGGGACTCAGGATATGCCCTGCTACCACAACAGGTTCCATTATTGCTGCGATGATGAGTTTGAGGAGGTGTTGTCTCTTGTGAGGAGTTCTAAGGTCTCTGCGTTGCTTTTGGAACCTCCCCTGACCTCCTGGAGGTAATATGAAGGTGATTGTTGTCGTTCCCCCCGCTGTCCTTGGGACTCTCCCTTTATCAAAACCAAGTGTCTAGATGAGGTTGCCAGGGGCAATCTTGCGCGTCGGAGAAGCCTTGACTTGATCGTCCAATACTTGAGATGTGATGTGTCGTTTCTGTTCTTTTCCCCACATGTCCCCAATGAGGATCAGGCCAGCATTATGAAGCTGCAGTTCTTCCGCGACCTGGTGGAGTCAGAGTAGCTGCAAGCTTGTGTGTTTGATGTGTGTATCTTTGGCTCCCCCCATCTCCTTCCTACCTACGTTGTTGCGTCTGCTCATCTCAATCTCTCTTCCTTCGCTCCTGGCATCAGTGCGGGTAGATGTCACCATGGCGTTGGCCATGCGTGCCCGTTGAGAGAGTATCATGGCAGACTCACTGCCGCGGCGCTGGGCGTTGCGGGGAGAGTGCTCACCCAGGCGGTTTCGCTCAGGTCCAGGACCGCGGTGACCTAACGTCCTCCCTCCCCCCTTGCATGTGCATGTATTCGGTACTGCCTTCGCCTTTCTCCCATCTTTAACGTATGGGTTTCAATCCCCTCTTAGACCCTTATCGAGCGAGCGAGCGAGGAGAAGGAGGAGCAGGAGCAGAAGGAAGCAGGAGGAAAAGAAGGAGGAGGAGGAAGAGGAGGAGCAGCACCAACAGTAGGAGAAGGAAAAGAGGAGGAGGAACAGGAGCAGGAGCAGGAGCAGGAGGAGGAGGAGGAGGAGGAGCAGGAGGGGGAGGAGGAGGAGGAGGAAGATGAGGAAGATGAGAATGAGGATGAGGAGGAGGAGGAGGAGGAGGAGGAAAAGGAGGACGAGGAGGAGAACGGGAGGGAATAGCAGCAGCAGCAGCAGCAGCAGCAGCAGCAGCAGCAGCAGCAAGGAGGAGCATTGGGGCGCTTCCCGGAACGCCGTGCAAAAGAAGCGCTATGACAACGAGGCCGCGGGGGGCGGGCCCAGTTGCCGGTCATGATCAGCAGCCCCAGCAGGGTGTGGATGATGCCAGTCGGGAGGCTCCCCGCCTGGTTCGAGGAGGGAAAGGAGGAGGAGGAGGAGGAGGAGGAGGAGGAGGAGGAGGAGGAGGAGGAGGAGGAAGAAGAGAAGGAGGATCGAGGCATCGAGGGCTCGAGGTCGGGGCCCTCTGTTTTGGGGAACCCTGGGGGTCTCCAGGGGCCACCAGACCCTGCGGACGGCTCTGGGACCTGTGTAAAGCCTCGGAGGCATCTTAGGGACTCCCGGAGGCCGCACTAGGCTGGCCCAAGACGGCCCAAGAGGCCTCCAAGAGGGCCTCCAGGAAGGCCCGAAAGGCCAAAATCATTGATGTCCCATGAGTTTTTGAATGATTGTGGCATTTGCCTTTTTTTCTACCTTCCGACGGCCCGAGACGGTCCTAATGCCCCCAAAGATCGCCCAAGAGGCCAAAGACGGCCCCAAGAGGCCCCCAAGACGGCTCAAGAGGCCTCCAAGATGCTCAAGATGGCCTCCAAGATGGCCCCAGAGCCCTCCAAGACGTCCTCCAAGAAGGCCCGAAAAGACTCAAAATGGCCTCCAGGCGGCCAAGATGACCTTCAAGATGCCCACGTGTTCCGCGAAGGCTTTCCAAACCGATTCGGGGAACACATGGTGCGATAGCTTGGCAGGTCTGGCCTCAACGTTCGGCCACATAGGCGCTTCCAAAAAGGCGGGGGGCGGCGGTGATTCGCCGTAGGCGTCGTCGATATGTAGACATCGATGTGCATGTGTATATGTATATGTATATATATACACACAGGGGGAGAGAGAGAGAGAGAAAGGGAGAAAGAGAGAGAGTGAGAGAGAAGGGAGAGTGAGAGAGAGAGACACACACATATCTATACATATGTATATATATACATACATACATACTAGAACCATCGCGCGCGCTTCGCGCGCGCTCAAGTTCTAGCTAGGATAATCGTCATCGTCATCATCGCCATCCTCATCACCATCATATCCGGCGTCATCGTCAGCGGCATCGTCATCATCACCATGACCATCACCATCATCACAATCGTCACCATCACCACCATCAGCAGCAACATCGTCATCACCACCGTCATTATCGCCATAGTCGTCATCATTGTCAGTATCGTCACCTGAATTATCGACATAATCATCCTCATCATCATCATCACCATCGTCATCATTATCGTCGTCGTCGTCGTCGTCGTGATCGTCGTCATCGTTATCGTCATCATCATCGTCATCATCTTCATCATCCGCCCACTCCTGCATCACAAGCACCATAAACAGCATCGCCACCATTATTATCAGCATCGGCGTTATCATCCTGACCATCACCAGCATCATCATAATGATCATCAGCATCACCATCCTCAACGGCATCACCGTCATCGTCAGAATGATCGTCAGCATCACCACCATCATCATCATCATCACCATCACTCACATCACGATCACCATCATCATCATTCCCACTGTCAACATCATCATCAGCATCATCATCATCAGCATCAGCATCAGCATCATCAACATCATCTTCTTCCTCATCATCATCATAATCATCATCGTCGTCAACTTCATAATAGTCGTCATCATCGTCATCACCTTCGTCACCGTCGTCTCCGAAGCTCCCCCGCCGAACTCGAGGATATCTCCGCAGCGTCTTGCATGCCGCGTGAGCAGTGTTGGGGATTTAGGTTGTGGGCCTGAGGCCGCCCTGCATCATCATCATTGTCATTATCACCAGCGTCTGGAAGCCTTGCGGGGCCCTTCCGGCGCCTTTTCGAGGCCTCTTGGAGCTTCCTGGGGGCCTCTCGAGGCCTCTTGCGGACTCCTGGGGGCCTCTTGGGAGCTTCTGGTGGGCGAGGGCTCGGAATGTCAGTTCGTGTTCCCCATCTGGGGCTCATCTTGGAATGTTCTGGGAGCTCTTTTGGGCCGTCTTGGAAGCTTCCTGGGCCGTCTTGGGGCCCTCTTGGGCTGTCTCGGTGGTCTCTTGGGGGCCTCTTGGCTCGTCTTGAGGCGATCTTTCGGGCCTCTTGGGCCGTTTTGGAGCGTCTGGAAGCCGAACTGGGGAGAACGCCAAAACCCTTCAAAACCACTAAAAATTAATGACAATTCCCTCTTGGGCCCCTCCCGGGAGTGCTGTCGGAGACCTGCTGGGACGCTTTGGCAGCTTTTTTACCGTCTTGGAGTGCTCCCGGGCCGCTTCGGACCTCTCTTGGGCTGTCCTGAGGGCGTCCTGGAGCCATTTTAGAGGGTCCTGGGAGCGTCCTGGCGTCTCCGGCGGGGGGGTGACCACAGCCACTGGGCAAAGTGAGGCCCCCCCCTGGTCCAGGACCCCCTCCCCATTTATATATATATATATATATATATATATGAGAGAGAGAGAGAGAGAGAGAGAGAGAGAGAGACAGAGAAAGAGAGAGAGAGAGAGCGTGATCCACCGCCGCTTTACTGTGGAAAATTGCCGCCCTTTTCCTCCGGAACCCGGGGGGCCCCCCACCCCCCCCTCCGAAAATCCCCCCCCCCTGCTGGAACCCCTCCCCCCCCCTCCCCCCTTCCCCCGGCAACCCCCCCCCCCTCCCCTAACCCCCCCCCCCCCTCGAGCTCGAAAACCGGGGGGGGTCACTACCGGTTCGAACCCCCCCCCCCCTCGAAAACCGGAGGGGGGGGTCACTACCGGTTCGAACCACTGAGCTGTCCCACTGTTCCCACCACTGTCCCCACTGTCCCTACCACTGTCCCCACTGTACCTCTTTCCCATTGTCCCACCGCCGTCCTCGCCACCGCCTTCACCACTGTCCCCACCACCACTGTACCCTCCACTGTCCTACTGTTTCCACCACATTCCCACTGTCCCCACACCACTGTCCCCACCACCACCGTCCCCATCACTGTCCCACTGTCCCCACTGTTCCCACCATTGTCCTCACCATTGTCCCCACCACTGTCCGTCCCCACCACTGTCCCGCTGTCCCCTCACCACTGTCCCCACCACCACCGTCCCCACCACTGTCCGCACCCCCCCTCGGTTTTCGAGGGGGGGGGGGTTCGAACCGGTAGTGACCCCCCCCGGTTTTCGAGCTCGAGGGGGGGTGGGGGGGGTTCGAACCGGTAGTGACCCCCCTCCCTTTTCATGATCAACTGGGAGGGGGGGGGAGGGGTTCGAACCGGTAGTGACCCCCCCCGGTTTTCCGGAGGGGGGGGGGGAGGGGTTCGAACCGGTAGTGACCCCCCCCCGGTTTTCCGCTAGCAGCGGTAGAACACGCTCTTTCATATATATATATATATATATATTGAAAAAGGGGGCATGGAGATAGAGAGAGGAGGAGAGAGACACACACACATATCTATATATAAGGGGGCAGAGAGATAGAGAGAGCAGGAGAGAGAAAGAAAGAGAGAGAGAGAGAGAGAACACAAAACAAAAACAACGAGAGAGGAAAGGAGAGTGAAAGAGTCGAGGGAGGAGGCAGCCCATAGCCCAAAAAATGCCATTGGCTCTCGGGTCAGACCCCGCCCCCGCCTGGTCGGCGAACGAGATGGCGTACAGCGCCAGCGGGTAGAAAAGCAAGGCTGCCATCAGGGCAAAGCTGAGCAGTATGACCTGGCGCTCGTTTGCGATCGCGCACCAGAGGCAAAAGACAGCGCAGATGAAGCAGGAAAGAGAGGGCACATGGGCATGCATGAACATTTCAGTACATGTTAATATGGCAGATGGTGATGTATGGGTGAAGACCAGAAGAGGTCGGAACAGGGTGGGAAAGCAACCGAGAGGACGCACGAACGAGAAAGGGCATGAGCATCGTTCAACCGATCCCTATCCCCACTAGCGAGGCCTTGAATCACTGGCCCATTATCAACCTAGATCGGGACATAAGCTGTTCCCTTCTGGTTTCGCGGTGCATATCGCCATCTTGGGGTGGTGGCCTGGCGGGGCTAAGATTCCATGGACCAATGGGGATGGGGATCGGATCAGCACCAATTGCCCTAGCAAGCTCACCCTGCCAACCCAACCACCCAACCACCCAACCAACCCAACCAGCCAACCAGCCCAACCAGCCACCCCGCCACCCAGCCAACTCGTCAGCCAACCAGTCCAACCAGCCACCCCGCCGTCTGCCCTTCGTCACCGCCGAGAGGTGTGGGAAGTGCTTCGTATCATTGAAACTGAGAAAAACCACCCTCCCTGGGCCATGGCTGGGCATCAGGAGGGCGGGTAAATCGCACCACGCCGGGTTGGACCTGGCTTTGCGCCGCGGGGCGTCCGAAACGGTGTGGGGCCTCCGTCGTCATGTTTGAAATCGTCACCGCGCCCCCCTTTTCAACGTAAAGCGTCCCATCCTTGCAGCGAGGCTTCCTCAGAGGGCCAGCCAGGACGGCCAGGGGAAGCCAAATCGCACAGCAACGCAGGGGACGCTTCATGGAGCGAACTCTCTCGGATGGCACTCGACGGCCTGGAAGGCCCCAGGAGATCCCGGAAGCCCTGGGAAGCTCAGGAAGTCGTACAAGACCCCCGGGAGGGGCCATGGAGTCCCAGGGGGCCTCACGAGATCCCAGAAGGCCCCAGGAGGAACCCGAACGCCCCCAGAGATCCCAGGAGGTCCTACGAGGCCCTAGGAAACCCCAGGAGGCTCCCGGAGGCCGCAGGAAGCCCCAGGAGGCCCCCAGAAGTCCCTGCCAGAAAGCCCCAGGAAGGTCCATGGTCCATCGAGCAGGGGGGATGTAGAGGGAGGAGGAGCAGCAGGAGGTTGAGGAGGAGGAGGATGAGAATGAGGAGGAGAAGGAGGAGGAGGAGGAAAAGGAGGAGGAAAGGGAAGAATAGCGAGAACGAGCAAGAGGAAGAAAGGGAGGAGGTGTGTGCCACCCTCGGCAGGCAGCGGAGGAGGTTGAGTAAGAGGATGGATGGACGGAGGGATGGAGGAAGGGAGAGCCGGGGAGGAATCGGAGGAGAGGGCGGAGGAGCTAAGGGAGGGAGAAGAAGCCCCTCACGGACGGACCTGTGATGCAGGCGCATGCCGTATGAACGACTCTCGGTCCTCTCCCTGTCCCCACTTGCGCACGACCTATTATTTAGTGAATTCAGGAACTAACTGAATGTTTGTTTTGTGCCCTCTGTTGGGTCTCCGCTGGTAAAGGGGGAAGACGAGGATGAGGAGGAGAGGAGGAGGAGGACTGGAAGTCAGATGACGAGGACTGGAAGTCAGAGGAGGAGGAGGAGGAGGAGGAGGAGGCCAATGAGACGGATAGAGAAGCAGGAACGGGGGGAATATCACAATGACAATGAAGGTGAAGAACGACACATTAGCAGAAAGGCCACCTCAATCGACTTCTGTGACCCAGACTTCCTGAGTCGTGCCTTGTTCAGCCCGGCGTTGTTCCTTACGTCTGGCTTCCAGGGGTCGTTTTCGGAACCACTGGCGAAAGGAGGCGAAAGTAGGAGGGGACAACACGACGCTCCGAACAATAAACCGCATCTGATAGATTTCTACTCCCGTGAGGCGCGTGACAGGCAAACGATGCGGAGTTATGGGTGGCAACAGGAGGAGGTCGGAATAAGGCACGAAAGCAGCCGACAGGACGCACGAGCGAGGGAGGGCACGCGGGCAGCGGCGAAAGTCGGCTGCCAGACCACGCCGCCGAAGAACACCCGCCAGCGGAAGGACGACTCCTTCATGCCTCCCGCGCGGCCCCCACTGGCCTCTGCGCATCTGGCGGTGCAGCAGGGTGATGACGCGTGTTTCTTGTCACAACACAACGCCGATGGCACAACGATCTCCCCTTCGGGGGGGCGTCAGGGTGGTGCAGGGGCAGAGGTGGGGTTGGGAGGAAAATCGCTCCAAATCTGAACGGCTCTTGGGAGAAGGAAACGTGAGCATCCAGCTGGATTCGGACCCGACCTTGTGATGAGTCCTACTTGTTGTCACAACAAAAACGCCGATCGCACAACGATCTCCCTTGAGCACTGAATTAGAGCCCGGGCGGGCGCCAGCGGGGAGCGGAGAAGAGAAGGGCAGGCAGAGCAAACTGCGGCAGCTGCTGCGGATCACCCTGCGTCCGCTTCCCCTCCTCTGCTCCACCGCTGCAGGAGAATACGGTTTTCCTAAATCAAAGCTACTAGTAAGGATGCGCGGTAAGGATTCAAGGGCCTTGAACATCCTTGGACGCCCATGCCAAAGCTTTTCGAGCGGGGTTGGCCATCGAGAGTGGTTGAGGATGGACCGAATATGACCGAAGAGGCAAGGATGCAAGGGTAACCTTGGGAAGTCGATCATCCTTACTACCAGCTTCGACTGCACTACATTACAAGCCAGCAGGGTAACGACTCATCAGCCTGCTGCACCGCCAGGGACTGGAGCTCTCCGTGAGCCCTCGCGCAGGGACTGGAGCTCTCGCGCGGGGATCAGGGCCTTGGTGCGGGGAGCGAGGGGCCCGTGGACGTTCTGCGCGCGAGACGGCGGGCCCAGGTGTTCTGGAGGACGGGGATCGGGGGTTCCTGAGAACAAGCTGGTGTGAGCACGAGCGCAGCACCAGGAAACAAACGGTGAAACCCCCGGCGATATCACCAGCACCAAAAACAGTACGAACCTCTGTCTTCGGAGGCCCCCCTCCAGCGATGTTGTTGCAATTTCCTCTGATCAAGGGCTCCCAACTTCGCGCTTCGCGCTGCGCGAAGCGCGAAGTGCGAGTAACTTCGCGCCCTCGCGCCGCCTCCCAGGGAAGAAGAGGAGGAAGATGAGGAATCGGAGCCGAAGCGCGAAGCGCGAATAGCTTCGCGCCCTCGAGAAGGCCCTTGCTCATGAAGGGGGGGCACTGGTTGCGCCCTGTGCGAGCGAGCGAGCGCGCACTATCCGCCCGGAGGCCGTCCCGTGCAGGGAGGGGCGTGGGGCCTCAGCCCCTCGGGCGGCGTGCGAGTTCATCCAGCGCTTCCGGGGCCCGACAGGGCGCCTGACCGGGTGCACCGGCTCCCACGGGAATCCCGGCGTGCCCACGAATGTTCTTGCCCGGCGTGCTCATGAGTACCCAAGGGGGCTGTGGGGCTCTCGTCGTGACGCTACCTCAAAAGCCTCGGCCGCGCAGCACCCTCCTCGGCTGCCCGAGCGCCCCTTGCAGCCCTCGCGGCACGACAAGAACTCAAACAACGGCCTCGCGCAAAACATGTCTGTGTAAGCCGCACCTAACCCATGCGAACTTAGTGCGGAAACTGGTATCGCATCCGGGTCAACATTGTATACGCGTCCCTTACATGTAAAATTGTTTTCACACTGAACCGAGGAGCGCTCCAATCCCTCCCTTGGCAGTTGGCGCACCAAAACCACCGCCGCCACCGCCAGGGCGAGGGCTGCCCAAATGCCCTCACCGGCTTGGGCGGGAGGGCGCACGCAAGGCTGAGCAGCGAGGAGTAGGAGGAGGAGGAGAAGGAGGAGGAGGAGGAGGAGGAGGAGGATTGGACGGAGGAGGGAGGGCGAGGAGAATGGTGAGGAGGATGAGGATGAATGGGGAGGATGAGGAAGACGATGAGGAGAACGAGGAGGAGGACGAGGAGGAGGAGGAGGAGGACGAGGAGGAGGAGGGCGGAGGGCGGAGGGCAGAGGGCGGAGGGGGAGGAGGAGGAGGAGGAGAGGAGGAGGGAGGAGGAGGAGGAGGAGGAGGAGGAGGAGGAGGAGGAGGAGGGAGGAGGGAGAGGAGAAGAAAGGAGGAGGCGGAGAAGGAGGAGAAGCAGGAGGAGAAGGAAGAGGAGGAGGAGGAGGAGGGCGACGACGACGACGGCGTGGGAGGAGGGCGGGGGAAGAGGAGGGAGGAGGGAGGAGAGAGGAGGGAGGGAGGGAGGAGGGAGGGAGGGAGGAGAAGGAGGACGAGGAGGGGGAGGCCCGAGGCACGCTGGAATAGAGGATAACGCAAATACCATCGGCCAGAGCAAACATAAACACATGCGGTCCCTATGTCCCATCGTGGGCACCTGCAGACTGGCACTTCCAAGAGGCACCAAAAAACCAATAATCACGCGAGGACCAACCTGCAGTGAGCTCGGGGATCCGCTAACCGGGTCAATCAGACCAGGGTCAACAGGAAACCAAAAAACTGCATTGCAGGAAAAAAACTGCAACGCAGGGCTTCGCAAACCCGGGTCAACCAATATGCGCGGCCGCCTCGCGGCCACGCGAGGCTCGCTAACCCGGGCCAGCCAGAAGGGGTCTCCGCAGGATCCTGCAGGACCTGGTGCCCTGGCTGACCCCCGTTTGCATTGACCCCCGTCTCTTAAGCTCCAATGAGCGAGTCAACGCGCGAATCCAGTCGACGCGCGGAAATTCTGAGTTTCTGCAGTGCGGTCCACTTTGAATATGCTATGCCTGCTGATCCATTGTGCGGCGAGGCCACACCCAAACCCGCACTGGTTGACCAGAATCTTGCAGCTCCAAAGCGCTGGGAAGCCAAGCCGTGCGCTATATCGCTGGGAAGCCACGTGGGTTCAAACGGTGCTGTGGTACATGTGCTTGCTCGATTCGAATCGAAAAAATGTGAACATCTCAGCGAGTCGGGGAAGGACGAGGACGAAAGAGGAGATGACTTAGGGTTGGAATAAAACGATAAAGAAAGAGGAAAGGGGCGCAAGAGGGATGTGACCAAAGTCGAGACGGAAGAAAGAAGGGTGCGATGAAGGAGGACGCCAATCAACGAAAGATAAAGCGGACGAGAGAGGAGACTGAGTGGAGCAAGAGACGCCGTTGTCCTAGGCGCGGCGAAGAAACCTGAGGCATAGGAGAAGAAGAGTGGCGAAAAAAACGCCCGGGAGCATCGGCGGATACGTCGCGGAGTGACAGCCCCATTGCCGACGTGTGCCCGTTGTGCCTCCCCCCTCCCCCGTATCATTCCTCCTGCTCCTGCTCCTCCAACTGTTCTTCCTCCTCCCCCTCATCCTTCTTCTTCTCCTCCTCCTCCTCCTCCTCCTCCTCCTCCTCCTCCTCCTGCTCCTCCTCCTGCTCCTGCTCCTGCTCCTCCTCCCCCTCCTCCTTCTCCTGCTCCTACTCAGGGTCCTACTCCCCCTGTTCTTCGTCTTCTTCCGTTTCATCCTCCTCTTCCCCCCCTCCCCCGCGCATATCGGGAAATTCGGCGCCTCTCGCGAAAAATAACCATGCTACTCCAATTGCCTCGGGGATCGTGAACACAAATCACCCTGATGTCAACCACAATATGTCCTCCATTGTTTCGGATTCGGGCCCGCAACGGCGACCCCTTCAGAAAAGAATTCGACGATACTCCTGCGTAACATTGATGCCAGGAGGAGTGGGGGGAGGAGGGGTGAGAGAGGGAGAAAGAACAGGACAATGTCGAGGGGGAGCGGGAGGGGGTGGGGGAGAGGGAGGCGGGGAGGGAGAAGAGGGATGGGAATGGGGAAATGGGAGGGGGGTAGGGTCAGTTGACAGCCGAGGTGCTGCACGCAGCCCGAACGCCCATCCGATCACTGAGCTTGATTCGTTCGCATCTGTCCGTTTCAGATGGATCCTCCTTCATGGAAGAAATGCCTGACTAAAATGAGCGATGGAGCCTGACTAACATGACGGAAAATGGGAGAAATGCCTGACTAAAATGCACATAACGCGTGGAAGCCCAGCACGTGGGGCCATACTTTGAGCGGGCGGATCGAGTCGGGTGGGCGGGCCCAAACAGGCGGGTCGGGAGCGCGGAAGCTGGAGGGCGGATCTGTCGATCGGACCCTCACGGACGAGACACGGATCGTGCGGGACATGAAGTGTTGGATCCATCGCGTAGAACACCCACCACGCGTGCAACCAATCGTGTGAGACCTCATGTCAGCACCGCTTCCACATTGCACGGCGAACTGGGTCGGCGACAGACTTGGCGATGCGTGAACTCATGCAGCGTGCGCTGCCTGTGAGACGTAAGAGGAGCGCGAATGTCCCACGCGGGGCGATCTCATTAGGATGTTGAGGGCAACGAGGCGTCGAGCAAGCTTTTATCGAGCATGACAGTTTGTGGTTGGTGTGTGTGTGTGTGTGTTGGAGGAGACGGTTACACAAAAGTGTTGTAAGTTTGGTAATTGCGATCTGAAAAGATAGCAAACAGCACTGCAACGTCCAATTGGTTGTGGCATGTCTTGTATAGGGCCATCTGGGCTACACCGCTCCAGACCTGGACTGTGTTGAATTCGGGTTGGGGACAGGGCGCAGGAAAATAAGAAGTACCAGGGAGAAAACCAAGGCGGGGGCATAATCACAAAAAGGAAGCTCTAAAGTTCGAACGCCGACACGTTCTGGGCCGAAATGTGGCCCCAGAGCGCTCCAAAACGCACAGCATGATTTCAAGACGGCCTACGAAGCCCCCAAAACGGTTCCAGGGGGCCTCTGCATTGTCTTCCCAGGGGGCCCCAATGAGCAAACATCTACGATTTCCCACATGACCCTCTACGATTACGACTTATGACATTATCGCCTTGATGCTCTTCGCAGCGTGCAAAACAACCCGAGAGCCTTCCGATATCGCTCAAAGAAAGACAGCCCAAAAGGCATCCAAAGAGGCTCCAATGCGGCCCAAGTGACCTCAACATGGTTTCAAGAGCCTTCCAAGACGGCCCGAGAAGGCACCAAGAGAGCCCCACCGCTCCAGAGTAACGAGAGAGCGCGCCCGTCGCACACTCCCACAGGGGGGGGTCCCCCCTTAGCTCCCCCACCACCTCGGACCTCCCCTGCCCGAGCCTCCCCCCGCCCTCCCCTCCTTTTCTTTCTGCCCCTCCGAAACTGAAGGAGCCCTGGGACACACAAATAAATACACACAAATAACATGATTCCCCATATTTTCCGATATTTTCTGGGTTTTTGTCTTCACCCCCACTTCCCATATTTTCCCATATTTTCCGGGGAATCGACGATTAATTGTGTCTGTGTGTTTCTTTCCCTCCTGAGAAACGACCCCCCCCTCCCACCCTTTCGCGCTCCGGAAGCTACCCCCCCCTCCGCCCCCCTTTCCAAAAAGGGGGGGGGCTTAACTAGCCCCCCTTTTGCACCCTCCCTGCCGGAAGCCCCGCTCCCCATCCCACCGTTTTTTCTGCCCGTCGGAAGCTCCCCCCCTCGCCCCCCTTTTTCCGCCCCTTGGAAGCTAACCCCTCTTCCCCTCCTTCCAAGGGTAGGGGCTTAGCTAACCCTCCCCCCTCCTTTGAAACCTCCTGCGGGAAGACGCCCCCCCCCCCCCTTTGGCTGAAGAAAGGAGCGCCGAAGACCAAAAGGGAGCAGAAAACCTACAGAGCGCCGAAAACCGAAGAGCCACCGAAAACCGAAAGGGCGCCGAAAACCAGAGGCGCGTCGAAAACTGGAGGAACGCCGAAAAAACCAAAACGGCACCGAAAACCAAAGGAACGCCGAAAACCAAAGGAGCGCCGAAAACCCATGGAGCGCCAAACCCAGAGGGCGCAGAATACCAAAAAAATCTCCGAAAACCGAAAGGGCGCCGAAAACTAAAGATGCGCCGAAAACCAAAGAGCGCCGAAAACCAGAGCAGCGCCGAAAACCAGGAGGGCGCCGAAAACTAAAGAGGGCCGAAACCCAAAAGCACGCCGAAAACCAACGGGTCGCCGACCTTGAAAAGGACGCCGAAAACCAAAGGGGCGCCGAAAAACAATAGGGCGCCGACAACCAAAGGGTCGCCAAACACCAAAAGAGCGCCGAAAACCAAAACGGTGCCGAAAACCAATGGGACGACGAAAACCAAAAGGGCACCGAAAACCAAAACGGCACCCGAAAACCAAAGGGACGCCGAAAACCAAAGGAGCGCGGGAAACTACAAGGGCGCAGAACCAACGGAGCACCGAAAACTGAAAGGGCGCCGAAAACCAAAAGGACGCCGAAAACCAGGGGGGCACAGAAAACCAAAAAGGATGGCGAAAACCAAAACAGCGCCGAACACAAAAAGGAGCGCCACAAATCAAAGATGCACCGGAAATCAAAAGGGCACCGAAAACTAAAAGGACACCGAAAACCAAGTGGGTGCCGAAAGCAAAGAGGGAGCCGAAAACCAAAGGGGCGCCGAAAACCACAAGGGCGCCGAGAACCACAAGGGCGCCGAAAACCAAAAGGGCGCCGGAAACCAAGGGGCGGAAAGAACCAAAAGGATGGCGAAAAACAGAAAAGCGCCGAGCACAAAAAGGGGCGCCGACAAATCAAAGATGTACCGAAAATCAAAAGGGTACCGAAAACTAAAAGGACACCGAAAACCAAAAGGGCGCCGAAAGCCAGGAGGGCGCTGAAAACCAAAGGGCCACCGAACAATCCACGGGCGCCGAAACCCACAAGGAGCACCGAAAACCAAAGGGGTGCCGAAAACAACAGGAAACTCCCAAGACGGACAAGGCGTCGAAAACAAAAGGGCGCCGAAAACCAAAGGGGCACCGGAAACCGCAGGGGCGCCGAGAACCACAGGGGCGCCGAAAACCAATGGAGCGCCGAAAACCGACGATGCGCCGAAAAAACCAAAGGGCGCCGAACAACCAAAGGGGCGCCGATAACCAAAATAGCGTCTAAAACCAAAGGGCGCCAAAATCCAAAGGCTCGCCGAAAACCAAAGAGAGCCGAAAACCAAAGGGGCGCAAAAAACCAAAAAGCGCCGAAAATCAAAAGAGCGCCGAAAACCAAGATGGCGCCAAAAACCAAAGGGGCACTGGAACTTTTTCCGTCGCGGCGCGGCAGAGGCAATCCGCTCGCGCGAGTAGCAACGCAGTGCTGCGGAGTCGCACATTAGCGCGCATGCAAGACGGGAAGAAAGGACGGGGCGCCAGAACACAAGAGAGCTCTGAAAACCAACCATGCGCCGAAAACCAAAGGGCGCGCAGAAAATCAAAAAGGGCGCCGAAAACCAAAGGAGCGCCGAAAACCACAGGAGCACCGAAAACCAAAGGAGCGCCGAAAAACAAAAGGGCGCCGACAACAAAAGGAGCGCTAAAAGCCAAAGGTACGCCGAAAACCATAGAGGCGCTGAAAGTCACAGAGACGCCGAAAACCACAATTACGCCGAGAACCAACAAGGCGCCGAAAACCAAAAGAAGAAAACCAGCTTCGACCCCCCCCCTTCAGGCAGGGCCTTCCAGCTGGAAAAGCCGATAGAAGAAGGGGAGGGGGGGGGGTCTTCGGAAGCTATCCCCCTTTGAAAAGGGGAGTCCAGGCTTACCCCAGGTCTCGAAAAGGAGGGGAGGGGGCAGCTTCCAAGCTTCCCCCCCCTCCCCTTTAGCCAGGGACCCCCCAGCTACAAAATCCCAACAAAAGGAGGGGGGTAGCTTCGGACGCCCCTCCGCCCCTTTGAAAGGGGAGCCTGGGCTGACCCTGGGCCCTGAAGGGGGAGGAGGGAAAGGGGTAGCTTCCAAGCCCCCCCCACTTTAGCTTGGGCCCCCAGCTGAAAAATGCCCACAAGAGGGGAGGGAGGGGGTAGCTTCAGAAGCCCCCCCCCCTTTTCCAAGGGAGGGGGGGTTAGCTTGAAGATGGGGCCCTCCTTTTAGTAAGGAAAATGCGACGGACGCGCTCTTTCGGATGAACCTGCCCGGCCCCACGTGGGAGCCGTGTTCCTCACGGTCGGAAACTTTTGGACAGCGTGTCGCCACGGCGGCCCTGGCGACACGCTATTCCTTGATAGTGGATAGCGCGTGGCCCCGCTCCGCTGGACGGAAAAACTCGGAAAAGCTCGGCACCTGGACGTCTCGGGACCGCGAAGTGGATAGCGTGTCACACCAAGACGCGGCGGGCCAGAACCCGCAGAGCGACACGCTATCCAAATGTTCCCGACCGTACCTCCCCTGAGGAAACCTTCGTGTCGGCGACCTTTCGAGACGGGTCCCGAAACCGATCGTCCCCAGACGGGGGGGGTGAGGATCACAGCTACCACAGGTGCAGCCGGTCTGCTACCCCCATCTCTGCGGCCATCTTCCAGCCCTCTGTCTTTCCTCTCCCTGCACCATGCCCCATCCCTTCCCTCCCTTCTCTCTCTCTACACTTTTGTGTGTGTGTGTGTGTCTCTCTCTCTCTATTTCTCTTTCTCTCTTCCTCTCTCTACATCCCCCTCTCTCCACTTCTCTCTCTCTCTCGCTTTTCCTTCCTTCCTTCCTTCCTTCCTTCCTTCCTTCCTTCCTCCTTCTCCCTTCCTCACCTTCCTCTGTCGGAATGCCGCCATGCCCCACCGAGGTGTTCCCAGCCGACATCAGTGGGTTCACATACCACGTCTCTTATGGAGAGGTTGTACATCTCGCCGTTCTGACCCACCCACCTTCGGACAAGGACAGCGAACACATCCCCGTGACTCCTCGCTTCCTCCGCCTACTCGCCCCTCCCTTCATACTCTGTTCCCTGCTCGCTCCTCTCCAAACTCATCCCGTCTCTTGGTTCCTCATCGCCCTCATCCCCATCCTCGTCCTCATCCTCCTTCTCATCTTCATTCTCTCCATCCCGTCCCCCTCCCTCTGCTCCGTCCTCACCAGCGTGATCCGTGTTCCTCCTCCTGCTCCTCCTGCTCCTGCTCCTCCTCCTCCTCCTCCTCCTCGTAGAAAACCACAGGGTCCGCAAGGCGAGCCACAAGATAAACCAAACGGGCACGCGAAGACCGAACAGCTGACCAAGAACGCGCAGACGAGCACGAAAACAAGATCGACCGACCAATCGCTGGCGTGCGCTGACGCCTGCTGCAAATGCCGTGCACAGCACAATAGAGGTGCCTGAGCACGGCAGCTTGGGGCAATGAGAGTATCGAGGACACTGGAGAAATCTTGGTAAATTGAACACGGGGCGTAGCTGCGACGGAGTAGAAAGAGCTCTCACTGGATGGTTGTCTGCCCTTCCCCCTCCTCCTCATGCCCATCCTCGCCTTCCATACTCCGCCCAGTCCTCCTCATCCTCATCCTCCTCGTCCTCCCCATTCATCCTCATCCTCCTCCACGTCCTCCTCGCCCTCCCTCCTCCGTCCAATCCTCCTCCTCCTCCTCCTCCTCCTCCTCCTCCTCCTCCTCCCCCTCCTCCTCGCTGCTCAGCCTTGCGTGCGCCCTCCCGCCCAAGCCAGTGAGGGCATTTGGGCAGCCCTCTCCCTGGCGGTGGCGGCGGTGGTTTCGGTGCGCCCTCATCGTGTATGATCCTGAGGCTAGAAAAGTTTTAAGAGTTTCGCGGATAGAGGGCGGGAAGTTCTCAAAATGTGGCTTTCGCCTTGGCGCCGCGCACAGTCGTGTGAAAAAGTTTGCAGCAAGCGTTTCGTGAATGGAGGGCGTGCCGTTTCAAAATGTTGTTATCGCCTTAGCACCGCGCACATGCGTCTTGAAAGGCCCACGAGCCCTCTGGACGCTGGTGGCCTAGCGCGTGTCCTTTATCAGGTCCTCCCTGCCCCATTCGGGGAGACTTCACCCTCCCCCACCTCCCTGGGTCTGGACGGGGAGAGCGCGAGAGGTTAGAGCGCCGAAGACGGCCCACGATGGCCCCACGAGGGTTCAAGATAGCCCAAGATGGTCTCCAAAATGGTCCAAGATAGCCGAACATGGTTCAAGATAGCCTCCGGCATACCTCCAAGAGGCTCCAAGACGCCCCCAAGGCGGTCCGAGGTGCTCCAAGAGCCCTCACGAGGTCACAATCCTTCCAAAACCCAAGGGACCTCCATGTGTTGTGCCTCCTCGCCGTGTCGCCTCCACTGGGCTGGTGAGGCCTCAGTATGACCCCAAGATGGCCCAAGAGAGCCCCAATATGGCCCCCAGAGGCTCACAAGAGGGCACCAAGATGGCCACAAGGGGCGCCCAAGAGCGCCCCAAGAGGGCCTCAAGAGGAGATGTGTCAGACTCCGGGGGGGGGGGGGCGACGAAACCTGCCTGCGCGCCTTTTGAACCATGGCCTCCAAGATCGCCCCAAAAGGGCCTCAAGATCCCCCCGAGGAGCCCCTAGGGGCCCCCAAGACGGCTCCAAGTGGGCCAAACACGCTGCCGATATGGCTCCAAGATGGAGCCACGAAGCTTCCAAAAGGGTCGCGGAGCGAGAGCTCTGAGAAGGCTTGACGGGCCTGCTCAGGCTCACCGAAGGCTTCGATGTTGACGGCTTCCCTAGCTCTTTGTCCCACTGAATGCGGCCACACCTCCCTGATAAAGAAAGTCGCCAAGGCATCGTTGCTAGATCGCCTGGTGGGGATACTTTTTTGATCGCGACCGCGGCGAGACAAGTCGGGGGGTGGAAAGGGACGAAGCGCAGATGCATCGGCCTAAATCCGCGCACAGAAGGAGAAGGGCGAAACGAAAAAAAACAAGAGCGGAAATCCTGGTGGGGATACGCAAAATGCCAAGCATGTGTAACACATTCACGGGTGGAAAGCGGGCCGTGTTCAACATGTTGCTCTCGCCTTAGTGCTGCGCACATTCGTTTTAAAAGTGTGTGAGAGCTTCACAGAAGGAGGGCGAGCCGTTTTCAGAATGTGGCTCTCGTTTTTTGGGACACCCGAAATGGGTACCGAAAGAATGGGCAACATGCCCAACAACAAATGTTGTCCCGAACCAACAGCGGCCGCTGTTGGGCAGGCGGCCTTCTGTCTCAAATGAACACAGGCCGCGGCGGCGCGGACAGCGAGTCCTGTTCAAAATGAACAGGAACTGCTGTTGGGCATCGTACCCATTCTTTCCGTACCCATTTCGGGCGTCCAGAGTTTTGGCGCCGCGCACATTCATCTAAACAATTGCCGGAGCTTCAGAGATGGCGGCCGGCTCCTTTTCAACAGGGATCAAAAAGTGACTCTCGCCTTCGCGTCGCGCGCATTCGTCTTAAACAAGCTTGCAGCAACTTTGTGGGTTTGTATGGTTGAATTCCCAGGAATCCGGTTCTGGCACGATTTTGGACTGTCAGGGCGCAACACTAAGATTCATTCGCATTGTTGAAATCCCATGAACGGGACTCTGGCACGATTTAGGATCGTCAGCACGGACGCAACCGTCACCTTGATTCGCGACGTTGAAGTCCCAGGAATGGTGTTTTGATACGGTTGAAGATGATCAGACGGTTGTCTTCCAACGGGGCACTTCTTGTAATCAAGAAAACTGTTTCTAGAAACCTGCGAGGGAACTTGGAGGGAGGGTTTATTGCAACATCGTGGATGCGTCTTGGAGTTGCACTGGTCCTCCCCCTCCGCCTTCCTTCTGCTCCTCCTCCCTCCTGCTCCTGCTCCTGCTCCTCCTCCTCCTGCTCCTCCCCTCCTTCATTCCTTCCTTCCCTCCTTCATTCCTTCCTTCCCTCCTTCTTTCCTTCCTTATGTTCCTCCTCCATCTTGCTCCTGCTCCTGCTCCTCCTCCCTCCCGCTGGTGTTGGTCCTCCTCCTCCCTCCCGCTGCTGCTGCTGGTGGTGCTACTTGCCATCGCTCGGACGTCCATTCCCCGTGCATGCTTCGGCTTACTTGCCGCAGGATGATTCATCATGCTTTTCGAGGGTGCTCGCCAAGCAAAACGCACACGTCCGAACGATGCTCAGACCCCGCTTCCTCCCCCCGAAGTCTGGCGAGGCGGCCGACGCGGCCGTCTTCAAGCTCGGGCCCGCCAGCGCTGCGGGTCGCCCCGTCCGTGGGGGGACCACAAGATGCCGACATCACAAACCCCCTCGCGCCGTGAGAAAATCACCACGCAGGGCGTTCGGAGGTTCTTGGCATCTTGGGGCCCAAAGCGGGACAAATATGGGTCTAAAAAGGGGCCGGGGGCCCAAAGAAGGCCAGTGATTTGCTCTTGGGTTGGCCTCTAGAGAAGCGAGCTTTTCTTCGGGCCTCCCACCTCCCGACACTTCCCCAACGCCACGCCGGCCATTCCTCGACACTTCCCCGACGCTTCCCAAACGCTACCCCGACGCTACCCCGATACTGTTTTGTTCCTTTCCTAGCGGGACCCCGACACTACCCGACATTTCCCGACACTTCCCCAACACTTCCCCACCACTTCTCCAACACTTCCCCGACCCCTCTCAGCTACATCTCCAACGGCCACCTGTTTCCTAAGCGCGCCGGCCCCACCAGGGCGAGAACGCGCCTAAGATTGACGCCCCCAGGACGACGGCACATGGCGTGCTAATATACACATATATATATATATATATATATATATATATATGTATATATATATATAGAGATATGCGGTGCCCAAGCCAGTTTCCTCGCGTCGAAACCAGAACGCGCGCGCAGCACCCGCCAGAAGGGAAACTGACAACAAATTGCAATTGCGCAAAGAAATATCAAAGGTGCTCCCTGGCCGCTTCCACTAGTTACATTTGTGTTGGTTCCAAAACGGGACGGCCAATGCACCGCGCAGGACGCCACGGGACCCCTGGTGCCCCTGGTAAATATAAGGCACATGTACCACGTACTCTACCATTTGGACACATGACCACAAGACATCTGCGGGCACCTGTGACAAACGCTCAAACAGTTGAGAGCTATGCGTTTGGTGGTGGGAGCGTAAGGCACATGCTTGGCACGTGAACGGAAACGAAGACAGTTGGCATCAGTCAACGTTCCACAATGGCTGTCGCATTTTTTCTTTGGGTGCCTGAGCAGCAGAGCGCGCGCTCTGCATGCCTGTCGTTGCCACACTTTGTGCACGCGCGACGCGCCCCGCTCTGGTGAGAGCACCCGTCGAAAATGACTCTGGACATCAAATTTCTCAACAGTCGCTGGACTGGGCGAACTGCAATAATAATAAGTGCTGGCACCATGGTCGCAAAGTCATCCAGGCCGTTATCGATGGTAAGCGGCGCGCCGTCGGCCAGGGCGAGTGGGGCCACCTCAATCCCCTCCCCCTTTCAAGGGCCGAAGACATGTGTGTTTTTGTTCCTGTCGAAGTCTGGGCTCTCTGACACGGTTTCTAATTTGTCAACGGGCAGCTGAAACGGACACTCATAATAACCTTGGGGCTTGAAGCGCAAGATCTCTGGCGCGCCCCTTTCTCTTTGAAAATGGGCAGCGCATTTTGAATTTTGAATCCGCCACTGCCTGGATTGCACCTTGAGAACGCTGGGTTTCGCAACCCATGCAGAGCAACCTCTGCGTCATGACAAGTCTCGACATGTCCCGGAGAACGCAGACATTCTTCTAATTCCAAACTATACCCACGTGGCAGCACACGTCCTATCTTATTGCCGCTTGACTTCCCCCCAGTCCAACCATGATACCGAGTCATCGAACTCGCTCGCGCACTTGACCGCGATGCCAGTCTCTATCAACGACCCGAGGGCAAAGACGTTGACATCGTCCCGGACAGGATTGCCAACCGCTGG